GAATGAGTAAAGAAAGGTTTTAACAAGTCAGATGGGCATCTCAAAATAATCCAATCTTGCTCAATAATCCCAGAGATTTTTAAACTTTTTGATATCAATGATTCCAAAATAAGACAGTGAGGAAAAACAAATATTTCAATTTGCTTTAAAATGAAGGACAATCATGACTACCACATTACATAATCTAGTTTGCATACCTGTGTTTCTGTTACTTACGTTCAACATATGACAAGAAGAATGATTATGACAAGAGGACCATGTCCTCATTACTTAATATTAATTATTTATTGAAATATCAGGAAATGGAATATATTAATAGCAGAGACAAAATGCCGGAGATGACTATAAAATATTAACTAATAACTTTACTTTGAGATTCAATGATACCTAAGTTGTTGATGTCACAAAACAAACAGAGGAGTGAGATAAAATAAAGAATCTTACTTTCTGTAAATATGAACAGAACAGCACATCAATGACAAAAAGAAATACGGATTTCTAGCATAACCCTTAAGCCAACACCTCACCAGATATTTGTATACAACATTCAGAAACATCCTTTTTGTGTTGTTTATTGTTAAAGATGGCAGAAAGAGAGGTCCTTGAGGCTGCAGGGAATTAAATAGGAAGTGTATATATATACATATATATATACATATATATATGTATATATATATATATACATATATATACATATATATATAATCTTGTCAGGTATTTTTTCCTCTTACTGTCTTTAAAAACATGAATTTATATTTGGATTTGATTCTGTATAGACCAGTTCATTTAATTTTTTTTTTTTTTGGATTTTCGAGACAGGGTTTCTCTGTGTAGTTTTGGTGCCTGTCCTAGATCTCTCTCAGTAGACCAGGCCGGCCTTGAACTCAGAGAGATTCACCTGGCTCTACCTCCCGAGTGCTAGGATTAAAGGAGTTCACCACCGCCACCCTGCAATCCTTGTTCGTTTATAGATACTTATATCTGTCAAATGAACTATATTACAGAGTATTTGTTAAGACTAACACCAGTTCAGTACTTTTTAAATTTTCTTTTAAAATATAGGTACTTTAAATGTAAAATGACTGAAGCAATAAAATAATTTCCCAAAATTAAATTTCACTTAATTTGGGTACTTAATATGTGTCTTTCATTTGATGGATAATCTCTTAAATTTCAGAACATTTGGATAAAGGCCAATTATGCCTATACAACAGGGCTAGTTCTGAAATATTGGGTTCCATTTATTGTTGCTGGCTATTGTCACTAGTAAGCCCCCAAACTGTGAAGATAGACAGACTAACACACAATTAAATAGAATAACTGCCCTAAGTGCTAGGATATGTGTTCAAAGCAATTTCTTGTAGTGCGTTAATCAATTTTTGTGGATAACCTACAATGTTTCATATAGTGAATATGATCTATGGTGACAGAAATACATACTAAACCATTTCTTACTTATTGTTTGATACCTTATTATTTGATATCAATGTAGTAGCCCAATCTGAAAACAAACGTATCTTTGTCTATGTTCCCTCTTTTCTATACTTAAGTCGTCAGAAAATCTTTCTCCTTCTGCTTTTAAAATATTCTATTTCGTTGTGTAGATGTACCACATTTTCCTTATCCATTCTATAGTTGAAGAACATCTAGGTTGTTTCCAGGTTCTGGTTATTATGAATAACTCTGCTATGAACATGGTTGAGCAAGTGTCCTTGCCCTTTGGGTATATGCCCAAGATTGGTATAGCTGGGTCTTGAGGTAGATGATTATTATTTTTTTAGAAACTGTGATATTGATTTCCAAAGTGGCTATACATGTTTGCATTCCCACCAACAGTGGGGTGGAGTTTTCCCCTTCCTCCACATCCTGTCCAACATAAGCTGCCATCAGTAATTTTAATCTTAGCCATTCTGACAGGTGTAAGATGGTATCTCAGAGTCATTTTGATTTGCATTTTCCTGATGACTAAGGATACTGAGCCATTCTTTAAGTGTATTTTGACCACTTGAGATTCTTCGTTTGAGGATTCTTCTGTTGAGAATTCTCTGTTTAGATCTGTATTCCAGTTTTTGATTGGATTATTTGGTATTTTGATGACTCAGCTGTAGAAAACAATGAATTCATGAAATTTGCAGGCAAATGAATAGAACTAGAAAAAAATCATTCTGAGTGAGGTAACCCTGTAACTGGAAGACACAGGAAGTCCTGCCTGGCCCATGGTCTGGACAAATCTCTCACCCACAGTCCTGCAGCCTTTTACAAAATAATCACACAGAGGCTAAATATTATTTATTACTGCTTGGCCATCAGCTCAGACTTATTACTGACTAGCTCTTACACTTAAACTCGACCCATTTCTGTTAATCTGTATGTCTCCATATGTTCTGTGGCTTTACTTGTGTGCCATTATTTGTTGCTCCCTGGATTGTGGACTGGTGTCTCCTGACTCAGTCCTTCCTCCTCCCAGAATTCTCCTTGTCTGCTTACCCTGCCTATACTTACTGCCTGACTACTTGTAGAGAGCTGTGTGAAGCTGCATTCTTGAGATGGCTCTGGCTTCTGCCCCCGCCCTCCCGATGGCGAGTGCTCTCTATGTTAAACAACTCCTTATTTGGCTTGGCTTTAAATTTCGGCTTGCTAAGGCATACGTGCACCTATCCAGGAATCCCATGTGGCGCATGATGGCTGGTGGTCTGAGACCTATGTAAGGCTGGGCGGGTTCTCCCTAGGGAAGAAGAACAAAGGAGACAGATTTTGAAAAGACCTGAATTAAACAGTTTAGAAGAAGAGCTCAGTGTTGTGTCTTCCTTGCTGGTCGAGGCAGACGCAACAATTGGTGGCCCCCTAAGGGGAAAACTCTTTGAAGAAAGGGAGCTCAGAACTTCTTGCTGTCAGGGTAGGTATACCTGGTAAGTCCCTGGGTTAATTGGGGAACCGCGACAAAAGCGGGTTTTGCTCTCTTCTGTAGATAAAGAGAGAGCGGTATCGCAGAGCTGCGTTAAAAGCAGACGGGATATATTGAAACAAAACTAGTTTGGCTGTTACATCTCCGCGGACGCATGGAGCAAAAGTGAACGTGATAAACTGGGGCTTTTTGGCAGAGGCTCCGAGAAATCTCTTAGGTTAAAAACAAAGCGTTGTACAAGGATGGGCACTTCCTTCTCACACCCAATTTTTTTAGCTCTCAATGAGCTGCTTCTAACAAAAGACTTAAAGATAAAGAAGGGAACTTTACAAAGATTCTTAGAGGAATGCGATGTCGTGGCCCCATGGTTCGCTGTTTCTGGGAGTCTTACAGTGTCCTCCTGGGAAAAATTGGGACGAGACTTGGACTTCGCAGCAGAACAGGGGACCCTGAAACCGGGGGTGAGACCAGTTTGGAGATTAGTATGTGACTGCTTAGAGGATCAGCATTGTAGCAATGCATTGGAAAGTGGACAAGCCGCGCTAGAGCAGTTACAAGAGGAGAGATCAGAGAAGGCAGGATCTGAAAAGGTGGAATCTGTAAAATCCAAGGCCAGTAAAAAACAAAAGAAAAAGGAGACACGACTCTATCCCTCCCTATCGGACTTTGAAGACCCCGAGTCTACTGACTCTTCTCTCGGTTCGGAGGAGATAGAGTCTCTAGTTAGATCATTACAAAAAGTAAAGATTAAAAACAAGGTGAGAGAGAAAGACAAAAGAAAAGAGGTTTATGGGTCCTTAATCCCCTCCACTCCTCCCCCTTACCCTGAGGCTGCAGTGGCGGCTCCCGGAGCGCGGTCAGCAGCAGCCTCCACTCACAGTTGTGGAGGGAGGTTAGGAGAGAGATGCAGGTGGCTTGTCCTGTTTTTGTAGATAATCAGAGTCAAAGATATCATGAACCTTTGGATTTTAAACTTGTCAAGTCTATAGCCAAGTCTGTGAAAAGTTATGGTGTTACCGCTGCATTTACACTTACTCAGATTGAGACTCTGCAAAGACAATGCATGACTGCCTCAGATTGGATGAATCTTGCCCGTGCCTGCCTTAGTCCAGGCCAGTATTTAGACTGGAAGGCCTTCTTTATTGAATTTGCTAATGAGCAGGCGGCGGCAAACCACAACATGGGCCTGCAATGGGATGCTGATATGCTGCTTGGTCTGGGCAGATATGTCAATCAACAGACTACCTATCCTCCTAATGTATATACTCAAATTAATCAAATAGCCATTAGAGCCTGGAAATCTTTACCTAACAAAGGTGAAGTGAGTGGCAATTTGACCAAGATACTCCAAGGTCCCATGGAGCCCTTTTCAGATTTTGTGGCCCGCTTGATAGAGGCTGCTGGTAGAATTTTTGGGGACACAGATGCCTCAATGCCCCTGATAAAACAACTAATATATGAGCAGTGTACAAAGGAGTGCAGGGCTGCCATCACCCCATATAAGGCCAAGGGGTTGGAAGCCTGGATGAAGGCTTGCAGGGAATTAAGAGGACCTCTGACCAATGCAGGTCTGGCAGCTGCAGTCCTTCAGCTTACCCAGAGAAAAGAGAGTAATACTCCAAATGCTTGTTTTAAATGCAGGAAAAGAGGGCATATAAGACGCAACTGCCCACTAGGAGGGGGTAGTAGACAGGAACAAGGAAGTAACCAGCGCCGCATTCAGCCAGGACTCTGCCCAAAATGCAGAAAGGGGAGACACTGGGCCAGTGAATGTCGGTCTGTCAGCTTTCCAAAAAACGGCCAGCGGGGCCCACGCTCCCAGGGCCCTCAAATATATGGGGCGATGGAGACCCCGAGACAGGACTCCCCTCCAGAGCAGTGGCCCTCCTTTCACCATCCCAAGCACCGCGGAGAGCCACTGCGGGCTCAGCAGGATTGGACCTCCTTGCCACCACCAGACTAGTACTAACTCCGCAAATGGGGGTACAAGTAATAGAGTCTGATTTTCAAGGCCCCCTTGACCCAGGAACAGTAGGGCTGTTAATAGAGAGATCACCTACCTTATTGAAAGGACTACATAGGAGTAGTAAAAATTATGGTAGAGTCACCAAAAGGAATTACTGCCATATCCCCAGGGGATAGAATTGCACAACTTATTTTACTCCCCAGTCTGTATGGTGCCCATCCGTCTTATGACAAAGAAAGAGGAGACAAAGGATTTGGGTCATCAGGAACAGATCTCACATTCTTATCACTGGATTTAGTTCAGAGACCTACATTACAACTAACTGTCAATGGTATTAAACTTATGGGAATTTTAGATACTGGAGCGGACCGCAGTATTATTGCTAGCAAAGATTGGCCTCGAGATTGGCCAATACAAGTTTCTTCCAAGATGCTACAAGGACTGGGTTATGCTAGCGCTCCTAACATTAGTGCAAGTTTGCTAAATTGGCATGATGAAGAAGGACATTCCGGCGTTATGCAACCCTATGTCCTTGAACTTCCAGTTTCCCTTTGGGGGAGGGACCTCATGAAGTCTATGGGTTTCAAATTAAGCAATGAGTATTCCAAAGAATCTCAAGATATTATGAAAAAGATGGGATGCCATCCCAATTTTGGATTAGGAAAGTTTTTACAAGGGAGAAAGGAGCCAATACAGGCAACACCTAGAAAGCCCAGGCAAGGGCTGGGTTTTTCTTAGGGGCCATTGAGGAAGGAGTTCCCATATCCTGGAAAACGGAGGAACCAGTGTGGGTTCCTCAATGGCCACTTTCCTCCGAGAAACTGCTAGCAGCAAGGCAGCTAGTTGAAGAGCAGTTGAGAGAGGGACATATCAAACCTTCCCTTTCTCCTTGGAATACACCCATTTTTGTTATAAAGAAAAAATCAGGGAAATGGAGATTGTTGCATGACCTTAGAGCAATAAATGACCAGATGAATATTATGGGGCCTGTACAGAGAGGTCTTCCATTATTATCAGCCTTACCAGAGAATTGGCCCATTATTGTGATCGATATTAAAGATTGTGTTTTCTCCATCCCCTTGCATGACAAGGATAGTGAAAGATTTGCATTTACAGTGCCATCTGCTAATCATGAAGAGCCAGATAAGAGATATCAGTGGATTGTCCTACCACAAGGCATGGCCAACAGTCCTACTATGTGTCAGTTGCTTGTAGCACAAGCTCTAGAGCCATTAAGGGCCCGCTTCCCTACTGTTAGATGTGTCCATTATATGGACGACATCCTCCTCGCAGCAAAAGAAAAGGATGTTTTACAAGCTGCATATCACTTTTTAGGGACAGTGTTAAGAGCTAAAGGGTTGTACATCACTCCTGAGAAGGTACAACAGGATCAGGTGGTTACTTATTTAGGCTCTAAGATTACCAGTCAACAGATTAGGCCTCAAAAGGTAGAATTGAGAAAAGATCATTTATGTACATTAAATGATTTTCAAAAATTATTAGGAGACATAAATTGGATAAGAGGCAGTTTAAAAATGGCAAATTATGAGCTAAAGTCGCTTTATGATACATTAGCAGGTGACACGGCTTTGGATTCCCCTAGACAGTTAACCACAGAAGCACATGAAGCACTATGCAAAGTTAAGGATAGATTACAGGAAGCCTTTCTTCAGAGAGTTCGAGATCCCAACACAATTGTATTATGTATTCTGCCCACCTTTTTGCAGCCCACCGGTATTTTATGGCAGGATGGACCTTTATTGTGGGTTTACACTAGAATTTCCCCTGCAAAATCCATTGAATATTATCCCACAACTGTGGCACTACTTGCCCAGCAAGGTATTCAGCAGTGCTTGCAATATTTTGGAACTTCCCCGCAAATGCTGATTATACCTTATAATGTCAATCAGGTGAAAGTTTTATGTGCTACTGTTGATGATTGGGCCATATTGCGCTGTAGCTATGTGGGGCATATAGATTGCCATTATCCAAAACATCCATTATTGAATTTTTTTAAGGAACATCCTGTAGTCTTTCCTAAAATAACTGCTTCCCAGCCAATTCCCGGATCCGCTGTTGTTTTTACTGACAGATCTAAAACAGGTTGCGGGGCCTATATGGTGGGCTCAGGGGAGCCTGTGAAGCACCAGTATTTACCAGGCGCACCTCAGCAGGTGGAACTTTTAATTGCTCTAGAAGTTTTTAAGGTTTGTCCATTTCCATTTAATTTGGTATCAGATTCCTTCTATGTTGTTAATGCCTTAAGAATTCTTGAATGTGCAGGGCCTCTTAAATCCTCTAGTCCCGTACAGTCGGTTTTTTGCCAATTGCAACAATTGATTTGGCAGCAGAAAAATCCATTCTTTGCACAACATATTCGTGCTCATACTGGCCTAACAGGCCCATTAGCTGAGGGCAACAATGTTGTAGACCTCTGTACCAGGCAAGAATGGATGTTTGTGGCCTCAGCAGTGCAACGAGCACAAGAATTCCACAAGGAATATCATGTTAATGCTAAAACATTACAACAAAGGTTTTCTCTCTCATGTGCTGATGCACGTAAGGTAGTTCTAGATTGTCCTCAATGTGTCATTTTTCAGCACCCTCCTGCATTAGGAGTCAACCATCGTGGTTTGCTCCCTCTGAAAATATGGCAAATGGATGTTACACATATCTCTGAATTTGGACGGGTCAAATATGTCCATGTTTCTATTGACACTTGTTCTGGAGTCATCCACGACACTCCAATGGCAGGTGAGAAGGCATTTCACATGATCACCCATTGCCTAGAGGCATGGGCAGCGTGGGGCAAACCACAACAAATAAAAACAGACAATGGTCCTGCTTACATGGGTCACAAGTTTGCCTCCTTCTGCCGTCAAATGGATGTTCAACTTGTACATGGCCTGCCCTATAATCCCCAGGGTCAAGGCATTGTGGAGCGCGCACATCGTTCCTTGAAGGAACTGCTTCAAAAACAAAAAGGGGGAATAGGCCATAGCCGTACCCCTAAGGATAGACTCTCTCTTACATTATTTACCTTCAATTTTTTAAATTTGGATGGATCAAACTGTTCAGCTGCAGATAGACATCAATGTCAGCACAGTCCCTCTAAAGGGATGGTAAAATGGAAAGATGCCCTGACAGGTATCTGACATGGACCTGATCCCGTGCTTGCATGGGCACGAGGCTCTGTTTGTGTTTTCCCACAGGGTCAACAAGATCCAATCTGGATTCCAGAGCGACTCGTGAGGAAGATACAACCGGACCGGGAAAGGGAAGAAAATGACCATGAAAAGGTTACTGGCAATTATGACTACGGTGATGCTGATGTTCCCAGGAACAATACAGAGGGAAACTAAATTATGGGCCATCCTAAAAACATGGCCCTATCCTCTTCCTTTGACATCTGATTCAGGGATATTGCCTTTCATATTTACTACTAATGATACCTTAGAATGGCCCTCTTTGCCATTTGATGATGTAAAAGCCATAGATAATTTTACTTGGGTTTCTTTGTATAATACCTTATGTTTTCCTATGTCACAAAAAAATATTAGTGAAAATCCATGCTTGGTGTTGCATCATCATGTTTTAGGTGTTTTTCATCATTTAGTCAATAGGTCCACCACCTCTGTTGGTCGTGGTACTGCAATACTTCTGCAAGGAGTTACACCCAGAGCCATAAGTAAAGGAGGTGCTAGTCCTCCTCGACAACCATCCCTATTACCTAGATGTATGAGCTCTGTCACCTGGCCTCCGGCATGGACAGGATGCCAAAGCACCCTACAACCCAATTTTGTTAATCTTAATAGGACCTTTTCTTTATCATTGAAAGTAAGTCCGTATAATAATTCCTTTAGTGGGTTTAATTTTTCTTATAATAATCCTTTGCAGGCAGCATTTTCTAATCCCTTTGATTCATGGGTATTGTGTAATTCCCGCAGTGCCTGTACCCAGCTCAATGCTTTGGGGTTTGTAAAAGGGGGTGATTTTCAGAATTGTAGTTATTCAGTACATATGGGGATCACGTTTGAATCAGATGTCACCCTGAATTGTACCCATTCTAAGTCAGTTCGTTTTAGTCCTACCCCAGTTTGTGTGTGGCCCCCTTTCTTGTTCCTGCTGTTTAATTATTCGGGTGGAATGTTGAATTGTTCATCTCAGAAATGTTTTCTTGCACAATGCTGGAATGCCTCTGAGCATGTTCCGCTATGGTGATGCGTGTACCCACCTATATTCCTGTGCCCGTCCGTGTCAATGATGCACAATTACCAGTGGTCTTAAGTAGGCAGAAAAGAGACTTTGGCATTACAGCAGCAATAGTAACAGCCGTTGCATTATCAGCTACTGCTGCAAGATTGGCTGCTGCATCCATGGCCACATCTGTCCCGACAGCACAAGCCCTAAATGAACTGTCGAGTAATACTGCCAAAGCCCTGCAAAGTCAAAATGCTATTAATGTGCATCTACATCGTGGGATCACATTACTTAATCAGAGGGTAGATCTATTACAAGAACAAATTGATATTATGGAGGGAGTACTTACTTCTGCTTGCATAGCACCCATGACCGGGTTGTGCATTACCTCTATTACCTATGAGAATTGGACTCCAGCAGCTAATCTTTCTAAACAATTGAGTGCTATGATTACAGGAGCCTGGACTGCTGAGTTTGATAATTTAACAGAGACCTTGAGGAACGAGATTGTTGCGGTCAACAGCACGCGGGTCCATGTGGCCACAGCAGAGGAACCTCTGACCTGGATTCATCAGTCCTTTAATTTTTTGAAGGAGTGGGCAGGACTAGGTGCCTTGTTGGTTCTTGTGATACTTGCCTTCCTTGTTTGCCTGTGGTGTTTCCATAAGATGAGGCTTGCACAGCGCCGTCAGGCAGCCATGATTGTCCAAGCATTTACCGCCATTGAGGCTGGTCAGTTCCCTCAGGCTTGGCTAGTAAAGCTGCAGTCTTGAAGCACAGGTTGCGAGGCATGGCACTGCACTTGAGGTCGAAATAACACTGACCTCAAGAAGAGCATGTTTGATTGCATGCAGGTTGGCATCTATCTCCCGCCTCTGAAAAAAAGGATGCTGAACTGGTCTGGTACTCTCTAGGTGATTGACACCTGGATAGCATTAGTACAGGTTCTTGTTTTCTCAGAGATCAAACCTCTACTCTTGCCTGTTGTCTAAAACAAAAAGGGGGAACTGTAGAGAGCTGTGTGAAGCTGCATTCTTGAGATGGCTCTGGCTTCTGCCCCCCGCCCTCCCGATGGCGAGTGCTCTCTATGTTAAACAACTCCTTATTTGGCTTGGCTTTAAATTTTGGCTTGCTAAGGCATATGTGCACCTATCCAGGAATCCCATGTGGTGCATGATGGCTGGTGGTCTGAGACCTATATAAGGCTGGGCGGGCTCTCCCTAGGGAAGAAGAACAAAGGAGACAGATTTTGAAAAGACCTGAATTAGACAGTTTAGAAGAAGAGCTCGGTGTTGTGTCTTCCTTGCTGATCGAGGCGGACGAGACAACTACTGGCCAATAGGCATTTTATTTATCAACCAATCAGAGCAACACACATTCACAGCATACAGAATGACATCATCCATTATAACCCAGACCCAAAAAGATAAACACGATATGTACTCACTCATAAGTGGATAGTAAATGTAAAGCAAAGAATAACCAGGCTATAATCTAGAGCCCCAGAGAGGTTAGATAATACAGAGGGCCCAAAGTAG